GGAGGCTTTGATGCTCCTGGATCCATGACATTCCCATCCTGTAAGTGCTTTTTGCGCTTGTTTGGATAACATCAGTGCAACTCCTTGTGTAAATGGAGCATTTTATTTTTCATGGCCTGAGTATATCAGCAGCTCTTCATAATCTAGTCTTTGTTGTCCAACATGCGTCCAACGTGTTTCACTGATTCCAAGCAGCTCCATGTTGTATCTTTTCATCTCTGCAGCAACTTGGATGACTTTCGTGGTCTCGCACCTTGTACGAACATTACATGTACTTAAATTAATGATTGCTTCGGATGTCAGGACATCAGCCTACTGACTTCCGAAGGAATTCGGCATTCATGAAAGGACGTCAGAACTCTTCTAAATGAAGATCTCCTAACTCCCAGGGTAGAGCTTAAATAATTTGCATTATTTCTTCTGGTTAGCGTTTTAGTTTTCTACAAGATGAGGACGCTACCCCATGGACAGCGCTCTCCCTTATCCGGGATTGAGACCAGCAGAAGCCCCAAAGAGGGTTTTTGTTACTAACGTCAAATCGATTTTCACCCAAGGAGCTAGCCGTATAACTCCCGATTCTAAGGTAACTCGACTACAGCTATCAGTTGAACGATATGTTGTATTACTCTTGAACGTTAATCCATACGATAAACACAGGACATCAACGCTTCTCCAAAACCCCACAGACAAATCAGTTAGAAATAATAACGAACACAAGATTTCGCCTCGTTAGGTTTATACTAATTCGCGTATATCAACATATATCACTGTTTGAATGGAAATATAAACCATAGAGCACGTAACGAGCGAGTCCTCGACATCCTTCCGATAATCTCATGATCTTTTTGATGGAGTTTTGTTCTCTGAGCTGGATGGTTTGGTCGTGTTCTACCAACAAGTGTGAGATATAGACCTCCAATCAACGGCCCACTAGGATGGAGAATAGCTGAGCAAAGTGGAAGAAAAATGGTACACACGACCAAACCATCCAGCTCAGAGAACAAAACTCCATCAAAATCATCCACCTGAGCTACAAATCGTCTCCACCATCTCAATCTCATGATCCTCACGAGCAAGTTTGACCTTTCATACATATAAAATTCGTGTCCATATCGTCCATTTTGGGTGGAATTATTCAGCTTGCCTGCACTTACTTCCTTATTTTATTCGTTGTTTGTTTGCTTGAACTATATACAACTAAGGCATAAGCCTACTCACTGAATTGGGTGGTATGCTAATTTCCCAACTCAGTTCGAATACTTACCTTCTCGGTCTCTCAAAACATTAATTTGACACAAGTGTAGAGCAAATGAAATGTCATTGGACCCTTACCAAATCACCCGGCGGTCGTGTTACTAAATGCCTGAGAGTTCACTGAGCCTCCGCAAGTCCTGAGATAGCCAACACGCATCAGTTGATTACACGCAATGGACTGGCCAATGCGGTGATGGTCGCACTTTATTCATCCACCTACTCTTTCCAATATACTCCTCTAATAACGTCCTTTGCGTTACACTGTCTTCAGAGCAGCCATAGTACCGTGGTACGATGAAACGACAATCCACGTTAAGTGCAACTTCAAAGTTACCCGTTTCGTCACACTACTTCCTCCTTACTCCAGTACGCCCCCAGTTATTCAGCTCAGATCATCTATGTTAGTGATCTACATGATATTCCCAACATTTCGCATCTGACTTTCAATCCCGTGTTGTGAATACCTGATAAGTCCTAGATTATGTAGGAGATTAATCCGTGATACATATGTAGGGCACTAACATATTATTGAGTCAGATAGGCTATCAAAATTGGTGAGCCTAATGTGGTTTTTATCACCTTTTACATACCTTTTATTAAGAATTGTGAAATGAACTCAAGCTGGTGTATTTCCAAGGACCCTATTTATCATGAATCTTTACTAAAGCCTCCGATAACAATTCGCAGGCAGTAAGTACCGTCAAGCTATTTTCTCCTAAAATCTATTGAGTGTTTCACATCTAAGTAGAACGACAATAGTCGCCGTTTGCATGTAGTGTAGTGTTTGGGAGCGGTCAGTGCTACCCAATTTTTTTCTCTTCATTTAGTACGGCTAAATGCGTCTGGTCAGTCATAACTGCTAGTACTGCTTATGTGTTTAGCTTGTCCTTTATAGCTCCGAATAACTGCTTGATTCCAGGTGAAGGACGAAGTGTTCGTGATCAGTTTTGTAAGTAACCCATCAATACTGTAGAATAGTAAAGTTGGAGATGACTCCCAAGAAACCATGTAGCTTTCGAACGGGTCAAACAGCAAGTAGTCGTCGGTACTCTGTACGTCATCTAGGTTCCTTAGTAACTTACATAAAAACCGATGGACCGTCCTAAACTCACTAATTCATGGGAAATCTGTACTCATTCAATCATTCAGTAATCCAGGTAAGTTAGATGTTGCTTCGGTTTTGCTGGCTACAAGTAGGTTATTTACGTCAACTACTCAGCTATTTGCAATCTGACACACGTTTCCAACACTTAGTGTTAACAAACCAGGTTAGCACAGCCAGATAAAATTATTGAGGAAAATCCCAGAGTAGTAAGGGTAGTAACAGTTTCAGTATTAGGCAAGTAACAGAAAAAAGTGATACAGAGAACTTGGGTTTGAAGTGACAGGTAGCAAATGTAACTGTGCCACTAGAAACGACCCTAGGACCATTCAAAGCCACTAATATAAGCCCCCGGACACCAGACCTGTCACTAACCACAAAACGCAGAGGATACTCCTCAACACACACCAAGACTCCTGGAAATCGATCAGTCAGTCAGTCAGTCAGTAACAACGTAGAACTTCGTACGTACGTACATCAGTTCGAGTTGCCACACCACATTAGCACAGAGATGCAGTGGTCGATTCAAATCCCGTAGTGGTAAAGGTAGCAAGAGTATAAGCAGTAATCGGGAAGATTAGGGTTTGGAGATGTTATTTAAAGAGTATAATCCGGTGAAAGAAATTTGGGAAGACGGAAAAAGGGACATGAAGAATTCAGAAGATTAGAGTTTGGGAGAACACAGAGAGTGGATGCACCTGCGCCATTGCGAACGATTTTGAGCCATGTCATTCAGGGTCTCTAACCATCGGTTGCTGTCATCTCGCGGTCCCCAACCAGGTAGTCTACACCTACCAACATGACTCAGTTCACTTGTCAGTGACTTCATGGACTTGTGCCATGTTTTGGTCTGGCCGCCCCTAGCTTTCTTCCAATCTATTCCTATACAACAAAACATCGCTCGTCTGGGCAGTCGGTTGTTATGCATACGTAACACATGTCCCAGCCATCTCAACTGACGAAGTTTCACTACGTCATCAATTGATTTGCCATCCTTACCTAGTACCTGTTTCCTAACAACTGCATTACTTACTCGATGGTCCCAGGATATACGAGCAATGTTTCGAAGACACCTATGATCGAATACTAGTAACCTACGGATATCCTCTACTCTTACCGGCCATGTTTCACTGCCATAAAGTAGGACGGAACGAACTGCTGCGCAGTAAACACGTCCTTTGGTTGATAGACGGATATCTCGCCTACGCCATAAATGACGCAAGTTGGCAAAAGCTAGTCGAGCCTTCTGTATCCGTGCTGAGATTTCGTCACAAACCAAACCACAAGGGCTGATGAGACTTCCAAGATAAGTGAAGCGGTCGACACACTCAACTACTTCACTCCCTATCACTAGTTGGAAATCGATCGAATTTCAGTTTACCACCACACAGCTATCCATCGTGGCATTACAAAAACTGCCGTCACTACTAAGCATTCTTAGACTTAGGTGGCTTTGACTCAGAAAATAAACTTATTCTACGTTCGACTCTTACGGTTGAATGAATTTGCACTAGCAACACTAATAACGAGTTAGAGGGAGCCGGCGAATACTCAATTAGAGTGGTCATCGTTTCAGGTTCATTTGGAAAAAATAGAGTTTATTGTAATAAGAATTTCTAGGACACGAATGTCCAAATAAACTAGGATGTCTATTACGCAAGCGCAAAATACTAGTACGTATGTACATCAGTATCATAAACCTTTAGCACAGCATGAGTTGTTAGGGCAAATCCGAAAGTAGATGTAGCAGCAGTATTAAAAGCAATAACAGACTAGACATCCAAGACACGACTCAAGAAAATCTATGCTGGAAAGAATGTATGGGAAATTCAGAAGCTTAGAACAGGATAACGTGAATGCAAGCATAACACTGCAAACGACTTTTAACTGTCGTCAAAGTTTCTGACCACTGGATACGACAATCACCCGGACCCCAAGTCGCCCAGTGTAGATGTCAATGACTGTCCTGCTTTTCTCCAAGGCTACTTCCACAACAGACAACGTCCGAAACCAGAAAACATACTATGTGAGGTTCTTAAACTGACACGAAGGTGCTTAATGATAAATTGTCTCTTTACGTCAACACAATGCACGCAGTTTATTACCTCAAGTTATCTTGGTAGCACAAGATGCACTCTATTCATAAACGCCAAAATCCGTGTTACCTTAGGAAGTTCTCCAAAAACGGTGTGAGGTCGATACTGGTGCTGTCCCGAACACACAGTCAACTGTAGTCAGGAAATCCCAGACAGTAGACCTTAAGGCTATCTGTAGGGTCAGGCAAACCAGATAAGAAAATCAAACCAGAAATCTACACGCAACAGAATTCGGTGTTCATTATAAATAAGTCCACGAATTGACATGCACATGCTAAAACCACGGAGAAGGAAAGTAGTGGAAGCCTGTTAGTTCTAAGTTGCTTCCTATCCTTTATTTTACTCATAACTCTCGAACATCCAACTAACTCACGAATTGCCTGCTCCAAGCTTTATGGTTTACGATCCTTTTAACACTGACTAGTAACTGACCAATCTGTGCAACCCTAAATGTCATCAGTAAACTGTGGTACACGGTTTTACATAATAACTCATGAGAGACTTACACCAAAGAACCGTAACTCCCATCAGTAAGTACAAAATAACGGTAAACAATCAGAAAATTGACATAGATCTTGTATGACATGAGGGCTATAATAAATATTACAGAACAGAGTTTAGCCGTCATTTTCAACATCTCCCTCAGCTGTTTGGTCACTGGCCCACAACTAATTAGTCGTATTAGAAAAACTAATAGAAATCTTACCGTCAAATTGTCTCTTAGAAGCTGCATAATTAGTGTGCTGTCTTTGTAGGAATCATCTTGAAGCTGATCTAGTTCTGCTATTGCTGAATCGAAGGCGCATTTAGCTAAATCGCACGCCTTAGCAGAATTATTTTGTATTTCGTAATAAAACACAGAGAAATTAAGAGCTAAACCAAGACGGATAGGATGAGTGGTAGGCAAATTTTCGGCAGCCGTAGTAGCTTTCGTGTAGGCATCCAACGATTTCTGTACCACTTCTGTTCGAGCATCATCGGTGGCAACCTCAGCGAGATACCGGTAGTAGTCACCTTGCATTTTCAGAAAGAAAACTTTGCTGTCATCGGGACTTGCATTTGGAAGCAGATAATCCTCAAGTAGGGCCTAGAAACATCATTACCACTTCGCGTCCAACTTACCAAAACTTGATTACATATAGTGTTCAACTCCTTTTCCATTTTAATACGATACTCTTCTGCTATTTGTTTCTTGGTACAGTCATTTACCGCTTTCATCTCACTTCCATGTATCACTCTCCATGCTGATCTTCTAGCACCTACAACATTTTTATATGCCACCGACAGTAAATTCCGTTCTTCGTTCCCTAAATTCCCCGAAGCCTCGGTATACCGCTTCATAGCTGCCGCCATGTCATCATATCGTTCAGCCTGCTCAGCAAGTTTGGCGATATGAACCAAATCAGTGTTAGATAAGTCCTTGCACTGTAAAACCCACGACGTAGTCATGACAGTACAGTACCACAACAGAGTGCTTGTGAAAACTAGTCAAACTGGCGCGTAAACTTAACTAATATATAGATAGGTTGTAAAACTAGTTCCACTCCTCAAAGTCAAATCTCAAACTAATGACCAAAGGTTTTAATAATTATTATTTTTGATTTTAGTCATCTTACAGAATTTTTAATTGTTTTGGTGAAATTCTGTTTTATTTCGAGGTTATTAATTATTTGTCGACATAAACAATATTTGATCATAAATTTATCGATCTTTCTCGGTATGATCAAATTAAGTTCTGGCTTTCTATTTTCTCTCTATATCTTTGGTCGACTCTCCATCAACTAGCCAGCTGATCAACTAACCACATATCCTGCCCTTAACCAAACACAGGCCTTCACTATCTCTCTTATGCGTAGAATGACACTACCAGCAATACACGGTTCCCTAAACTTCACTGATGTCTATAAATGTATTAAAGTATTCGGTACATTTTATCATGACTATTCCTTCAGCTGTGTTTTTAGCCCAGATGTCATTGAAAACCTCATTATACAAATGACTGTACAACAGGTACATTTCTCAATTTGCGTCAAGTTACCTGGTTCAACTTCTTGTTACTTTTCAGTACTCATATATCTGTAGTAAATTTCTTTCTGTGTAGGTTAATTTTAAGAAAATAACAACAAACAGTGAGTACATTTTCACAGAGTGTATGAGTAAATGGAGATAAAAATGAATTCCGTATAATAAAGTGCATGTTATGCATTAAAGAAACCCACGATGCCATAAAACAAGTTGAACAACGAAATCACTCTACATAGTTGAGTATACGAAAAACAAATGTATACCCTCTTACACTTATATCAGCTTATCTAAAGACCAATGACTTCACAACTCCATCCTAATGGGCAGTTCACAACTATTTATAAATCCAGCTTCAAGGAACACATGGTTCAACACCAGAAATAAAGTTTTGTAAGTATAAATCCCCCAGTCAACTTTACTTACAAGACGTAATATTTTATCCAGTTACACTGCATATTCATTAAATATTCCCACTAAAACAGGTTGAGTGAAGATGTATTTATATACACATGCATTATTAGTGAGTAGAAAGTCGATACCCTAATAGGTGGCGGTAAGTCGATTTATTACAAGTAGTTACATAAGAGTAGCAGCAGAAATTAAAATTGGATGTAAATATAAATGTTTTCGTTATCTGTGAAATTAGTGATGACTAATTAGAAGGACAAGTGCAGTAAAACGTAAATAAGTTTGGTAAACAGGTTACGTAAGATTAGAATCAAAAGTCCAAATGTTAACAAGATAGAAGTTCGGAACTTTCCAAGAGAAGAGAAAGAAAGGTCTTAAAATGAGTATTAGTATTTAAGTAGAAAGCCAGGGAAGAATTAAAGACTGAATAATTTTTTCCTGTATACAAAGCTTAGGTTTTTTTATGTATATTCCTATGGTCATTCCTATGTCCTCTGTTATATTTATGTACACGCACCCCCACGAGGATTGAATTGTGGAGTCGTCTATGGACGGTAGCTGACAGATGCAACACAAGTGAAGACCGTTGCCACACAACTCCGCCTACTCTGCTTTTTTTCACTTTGTTAACTGATGACTGGATTATGAAGACCTCCAGAGTTCAAGAAAGTATTGAGTATAACGTATAGTGATGTGAAGAAAGAAACAAGGAAAGAATAAAAAACAGCGTAAACCATCAGTTGGAATATCATCTCGTTTGATTCGATCATTCAACAATGATTCTCGTGGTCTCAAGTTGGTTGATATCTGAATGATTCATACGAAAGCCATATTGTTGGTTTCCGATGTATGAAACTACTGTATATTTCATTCGGCTTAGCAACATCCTGTTGAAAACTTTATCTGAAACCAACAGTAGTCTGATCCCTCTGTAGTTGTTACATTTACTAAGGTCATTGTTTGGGATCTTAATGAGATTTTCCTCTTTCCATTGATATTGATATCCAGGTTGTATACAACTAGACAAGTTGGACTTCACAGATAAACTGGCTCTTCTATCCCATACACACAAATAAATGCAGATCAAGACAAACAATATAGCAGCAGTCTCTACATCACTAGGCATCAACATACTCAACCGGAAAACAAAGATACTCAATTACAACAACGAAAGCACAAACACAATCACACTTCATGCAGAAAATCTGGATCGGTTGCGATCTTTCACATTACCCACTTACCTACCTACCTACCTAGGTAGGTAGCATCATTGATGAACGAGGAGGATCCGATGTAGAAGTATGGGTAAGGATTGGCAAAGTAAGGACAACATTCATACTGTCGAATAATATATGGAACTCAAATCAACTGTATGCGAGTCAACATCAAAATCACAATCTTCATTGCGAACGTCAACACACTTCTACTATATGCAGATGAAACTTCGAGAACTACCACAATCATCATGGAATTAGTACAAGTATTTATCAACAATTGTCTACACAAGATACTCAATATCTGTTGATCGGATACCATGAGCAACACAGTTTACTGTGGTAGAGAACAAAGCAGTTTTTGTGTGAAGTGGAAATTAGGGAGGAGCTGTTGGAAGTGGTGGATGGTACATACATTGACGAAATCACCAAATTGTATCACGAGGCAAGCACTAATTCGGAATCCTGAAGGGAAATGGGAAAGAGGAAGGCTGAACAACACACTGCATCGATAATTGTAAGGAGAAATGAGAAGGATGAATAGGAACTGGGAAGAACTCTAAATGATTGTGCATGACGGAGTTGTATGGAGTAAGCTGGTGTTCGGCCTATGCTACTTCACAGGTGGTAACAGGTGTTATTAGGTATTATTGAAGAGTTAACAACGATCATCGTAAAATAATACTAATAATGCTGAATTGCGTACGTCTGATTTCATTAATTGACGTGGAGAGGATAATAAACTCAATCATTGGTATTTGTAATGCAACTAATCAACCAACCAGTTCGCATGAATAATTTGTCACAATAAAAAAAACCTAAATATTATATTTTAAATGGAGCACAAATTTAATCGGAACTTTTGCTTCTTAGATTTACATTAATTAAACAAGTAAAATATATGTTTTTATCTTCATTCACCACAAAATACCTAGGATAAATAATATACTTTAACGTTTAAATTCATGAGTCGATCGAATCTAGACCACCATTGAAAACCTGGATGCACTGAACGGTCCTTTCATCCTAGTTAGACATTAACACCGCTGGATGCCGGCTCAGTTGTTTAGAGGTTAAGCACTCACGCGCGAGACCGAAGGTCCTGTATTCATCTCCTGTGTGTGGGATCGTGTTTGCACACTTCTGAGAAGTCCAATACTATGGCAAAACGACCGTCCAGTGCTTCCAGATTTTCAATTCTGGTCTATCTTAGATCGATTGATAAATTCAACTGTTGAAATTATTACGATCTCTTCAAAACCTCATTCTGATAAATAATATGTTTCTCGTTGTTTTTTACCCGATACACTGTAAATAAGTTTGTTTACGTGTACTAAGCCAGCAGGTTAAGAGACTATGTACTAACGCGAAATCAGAAGTTGAAGACATTTTACACTCTAATAAATCCCAATAAATCAAACTCCAAACTTCATGTATATTACTTCAACTACGCCAATGTGATAGATTATTTACTCTGGTTTGTTTGTTTGTTTTTTCAAACGTCTTTCCTAAAAACCATGACAAAATATGACAGTACTAGTTCTTTATTACAAAATAAGCTTTCAAACTCATTCAGCGATGGCATAATGAGGTCCAAATCCGATAGACCATATAATGTTTAAAAAGGAGCTTCTCCCATAAGAATTCATTTATCGAACCAAGGAGCTGTCACAAAATGATAAATTATGTGTAGCTAAGTAATCAACTTTTATTGCAGCTGAAGCAACAAGTGGTCAGATTATTGGGTAGTCTCAATATTATCAATGACCTCATACATTTGCAAAGAATACACAGTAGATATGTCTCCATGGACTACGACAGTGAATTAAAACCTAGGTTCCTTCTCAGTCACTAGTCATATCATTACTGCGCCTCCCACACTGATTATGCATATTTATGTGTATCGCGTCAGAAGTAGCATATGTCAGTAGAAAATATTCAAATTTCATCCGTCTGTCTCTGGCTGTTCTTGTACATTAATCATCAATTAAGTAGGTTCAAGATAATTACATGTACATCGTCGAAACAGGATTCCGTCATCAACCGTATTTGATTGGACAATGGCCAGAAGCTTGGAATTCATCGTACATTGAGCATTTACTCCTTTACTGATGAATAACTCGTAAAAGAATATTTGTTACCAAAAAACTATTAGGATTTGTAGAGATGATGATTGCTCAAGACTTAAGTCGATGAACTGAAACAAAAATCGGTAATCACAAAACTATAATTTAAAAAGGACGAATTACTTCAAACAGACAATAAACAGATTAATATTGTCCTGGAAACCACATATCCTGCTGATTGGTTGATCTCAATTAACAAGGAATACCGCTCAGTAGCGCAGTCCGTGTGATATGCCACCTCAAGCTCAATGTATTAAAGCGTACAACTCTGACGCTTTCGTCTGTAGTCTGATTGGGATTACCAATTGTAGCGTGGCGTCGAGTTGAAGTTAACTATGAACACCGCTACCAAGAAACACGTGCCAAATAAATCAGAAGGCGAGGGTTGGACGTAACTAAATAGATCCATAAAATCCCCGAGAAGCCAAAACCAGAAGGCAATTAATGGACCAAGTCGATGTTTATTTGCTGGCGATCTCGTGGCATCGAAAGGATACCGAGATCGTGCCAGGATACAACTTTGGTTACAGAACGTAACCGAATCCGCGCGAAGTTACAATCAAAGTGTAAGTAAAAGAATGGAAGCACAAAATAGCTGTCATTAGCACAGTCAAACAAAAGCACGTTAAAACAAACACTGGTACAGTTGGTTATAATAATAATTGTTTTTATTAAACCAGTCGTGTTCTCGTGATAAACGTGAGTCACTACACGTCATTGCAAAATAAGCTAACGTTTACAAA